CCACAACAAAAAGCTTCCTGTTGTTAATCAAACTCCAGCACTTTGTCCTTTATTTTCTCAGGCTGTTGAACAGACCTACAGTAGGAGTGTTAAAAGCTGGTAAAACTGCTCCCTTGCTACAGCTCCCTCAATGACTGCATTTTATTTAGCAAGGCAGATTTTAATTCTGAAAAGAAGGTCTTCCATGCTATGACATGATTATGTATGACGACAGGAAGCAGCAATATTCATTTCAAGTTGTGCGTGTTGCATGTTGTTCCTTATCCAGCAGTTTGCTAAGATTTGCTACATGATATATTGTGCAGAGCTAAATGTTATTCTTTTTCCTTCTCCTCAACTGGTCTCTAATAAAATGCATATGCCACCCCTTGCATATCTATGTCTTAAAAATGTGTCACCCACCCACATTTTTCAGAGACAGTAAGACTGCGATGAAAATATTTTTCCTGGATGCTAAAAGATATTGCAGAATAAATAGAGAGGAAGTAATTCATCTGTAGAAACAGCTCGTGTCTTGCAATATGCTTTCACAGGAAAGAAATTGATTTTAGAAATAGGAACAACTGGGCCTTTTTTATGTGAACATTTCTCTCCTGGAAAAAAGAAATACACATTTGAGATGTTCCTCGTTTCTTGGAAGTTAGGAGCCAATTCCTATAGGCAAGTCTGTTCCCAGTCTCATAGTTACCAATAAAGGCAGTCACATTGCAACACAGGCAATTATCAAAGGCTGTGTTTTTGGATAAGGCCCTAAGACATCATTTTCCAGAAGAGTTATGCTTTTTAATATGAATGAATATGAATGAAAGTGAACAAAATTTGAAAAAAAAAAAGAAAGAAAAAAAGAACTAGCAACAGACCACAGTTGGTTAGAGCTGAAACTCTGGTCATGGAAATGAAATGTCAAGATTTCAGGTTAGGAGACAGCTGTCTGTCTCGGATCACAGCCATACAGCATGCAATAACTTACAAAATCGCTCGCATCCTCTAAAATAAATACCAGATGTTTGTTTATCATATGTGCAGAAAGTTAAATGTCAAATAATTGCAGGGAAATGCATTTGATGTTCTTCTTCAAAAGTACTGTATTTCATCACCCCCTCTCTCCACAGTTCATTTTAACGTGAAACACAAGTTCTTGAAACTAAAAAGCACAAGAAACCCAAAACAAAAAGCTAGTTGTTAAAGATTTGTATTACTATCTCAGCTGGAGGAGGCTAGATCTGAGAAAAATGGGTTACCTCTGGTCACGTTAACACTTGGAGACCTCTGTGGAGAGGACATGCTAAGCTGACTAAAAATTACACAGACAGTTGGACTTTATAAGCATAAGCCTCCAAAAAGCAGGAGAATTCCTATCTGTTTGGTGACACAGCTGTACTAGAGCTGCTGTCCTTGTCAACAGTTCCTCTGGATAGCATAGTATGGAAGAACTGTGTCTTACCACAGCTGCATTTTGGTACCTTCAGGCTCCATTTGTTAATAGCAGTTGATATGGTTGAACGTCAGCTCTGAGCAATCCCCGTGCCATTTAGAATGTGTATTTTATGCACAATTTTGCATTTTACAGAAGGTAAACTTTCAAAAGACATTAGAAAGAAAACAAAATACATCACAAAGTGATTAATGAAGGTAAGCTTAACAGCCCCTTAAGATGTGTCACGCAGTTTCCAAGGTAGTCTTCTACATAATTTATTTCTATCACCTTACTTAGAGAAGAAGATTGGTACATTTAGAACTTGATTTACAAACATACTTAGGCACCACAGAGGGGTGCTCAGTGTTGCAATTCTGTTTTCATGCACCTGGAGAGGAGCAGTTCCTCTCCGGAGGCCACCACAGAGAACTGTCAAAGGGTGAAAAACGCCTTAAGCTCTACCTCTCTCCTGGACCTCTGCACTGACACAAAGGTAGTACTAAAAACTCCAACCCTTCCACTTCTCGTCTGCTTAGCCCCACCCTTCTTGTTTGTGCTGCTTCTTTCTCACAAAACGCTATGGAGAAAGTTTATTCTTTTTCCCTCTGTCAGCTTGTGAGCAAACACCCCCTTGGCATGCGGCATGCCGGGGGTTACAGCTTGATTTTGCAAGGGGTTTAAAGCTGTGGCACACAGCTGAACACTCCAGCCATCAGCCTCTAGTGCTCCAGCAGAGGACTGCTGTTGACATAGTTCCAGTTTTCAAGAAGCAGGTAAAGATTTGTTGATCCAGAGAGAGCACATCTATGTGAAGAGATGTTCTCCCTAACAAGAAGAGATGCCTCCCTCCGTCTGTACTGTATTACACAGTTACTGGAGCCAGGAGCACTAATGAGGTTGCCTCTTCCCTACCTATAGGCAATAAATTAGAGGTCTTCTCAGAGTCTGTCTCTCCCAGTGAGCTGCTAACATCTGGCAGGAGAATTTCTGCCTGCCTTTTGAATTCTGCCAGGTTTCGGGCATGAGGGTAGATGTCTATATCCTCTGCGTGTTTAGGACTTAGTTCTGAGCAGTGGGATAGATGCCGTAGGATATTCAGTGCCTCAGGAGTTAAGGGGATGTATTGAATACCAACCAGCATTTGGGACCAAGCAAAATTTGGGGGCCTGAAGTTCTTTGATGGGACAAGCCTGAGTCGCCTGAACAGTCAGTGACCGGTAGGTGTAATTGTTAACTCAGGCATCAACTAATCAAACCTTCCCCTAAACCCCCAATGTTAAATTTTAACTTGGCTTCAAATACCTAGAACTCTTGTAATAGGCCATTGCTTGACTTTATTCACAATGAAGTACTTACTGTATATTAAAAAGCCCCTACTAGAATCATTTCAAATCAGTTGGAACAGTACAGGCTTGGGACCCTAATCATTTCAAAACTGAAGAGCTGTTTCAAATTGTAAGAGAAGCAGATCATTTAAATAACTTAGCTCTGCACTCCCTCAGACTTCCAGATTTTCAAGTGCACTTCAGCCTGGAAGTGAATGTGGTATTGGACATAACTCAGTGCAGCACACTTTACAATCAGCAGAGTACAGTTTGGAGAGCATTTGAAGTTAAGCTGAGATTGCTCAGCGCAATGATGCCCAGATTCCCCCATTAACTTTCAGATTGCAACAATCTAACATCTGAGACTCTCCAGTTACTTTAAATCACTTGATTGTTTTTGTAAGGCGGTGCTGGGATTTTTTATTTTTTTTAAGGCTGATTTTTTTTTTTATCACGACAAAACAAAATGTTGCAGTATTTGACCCCTAAAGACAAGGGCTAAAATGTTGCATATAGACTTTACCAGCCTTAAAGACTGGGGCAGGGGCTTTGCCCTGAAAGCTGGTTCGATCTGCGACACACAAGGCTGCTATTCTTGTGTTGGAAGACTTCAAAATGCCTTCCCTATGACATGGGCATTGAGAAAGAAGCCAGTTTGTCCTCAACAGCACTTCCTTCAGACTTTTGAGAGAGAATGCAGAGCATGTTGATTTAACCACTCCAGCGCCTTTGGATATATGACATACATCCAGGAAAAAGGATGCCTGTGGGACACAGGGGACATATATTCTGCATCCTGTGTACTTTGGAAATAATGAAAAAGCCTGAGACATTCATGGGACATTCATTTGAGAAGGGTTAATTCAACCTATTATTATCCTACTGAAGTCTGGACAACTGAAGTTTAGGGGAATAAATTACTCTGATTAGTATTTTGTGAATAGTATCATTTTATATTGAAATTAAATGGTTTGTTCTGGGAAACAAAAAGAAGGTTCTAGCTGTAGAGAAAAAGGGTGATGAATTTGAGTTAGATTTGTTTGTTGTTAAGGCTAAAGAAAGGCTGGGAGGAAATGGCAGGTGTTTCAAAGCTGTGGTCACCGACCTGGCTGTGAGAAAGTTCTGTGCAGAGTATCAGCCGTTTGGCAGCTGGACTTGTGCACCAGGACAAAGGTTTCTTTTGCCAGCAGAACTGACTTGGGTAGCTGCAGTCCTGCACCGTACATCATCCTCCCAACTATGCCGATACATCTTCTGTGATGCCACATAATGAACTACATGAGGAAACAGATCTGGATGACAAATAAATAACTGGGGGTGGAGAAGGCTGTCCATTGTTTGCAATGTAACTTCACGAGAGAAAGAGAAAGGGAGAGAATGAGTGTAGAAGACAGAAGGCCTCTAACGTGCATTCGTGTGCACACTATAGCATTCATTTCTCCAGCAAGTTCAAAATGCCATTATTTTCTAATGATTAAAGTTCACTATATTTGACAGTTGGAACAGAATTATTGCACTTGTGCTAATGTTTCTTTCTGATTTCTTCAAATACTTCATATGGTACAAGTAACTGATTTGCCTTTTTCCCAACAAAATCACACAGTGATTCGTAATTATCTTGTGACTAACTAATACACCATGGGATTCTATTCTCCTCTTCTGTTTGCAAGTGATGAGCTCCTGGGTTTTTGCAGAATTCTTGTTATCATTCCCTAAGTGAACAACTTTCATGTTATGCTATTAAATTTCATCCCATTTCTAATACTGCAGTCCTCAGGGTCATTCAGTTCTCACTGTATGACTCTCCTCTGTATTGACAATGCCTTCCAGCTTTCTGCCCTCAGCCAATCTTACTAGAATCTATGCAAGGTAGTTAATGTAATTATTAAGTAACATTGTTCACCAGACTGGTCCCTGAGGATAGTAACTTCTAGTAACTTCTCTGCACTCTGGTGGTTCCCACTCCCACTGATGGCATCTCTGGTTCCTGCCCACTAGAGGAAAGAGAATTCTCTGGCATGTGCATAGCCCTTCTGGCTAATTAGGCACGTGTTCCCATCTCCTGTGATGACACTGTTTACAAAAGAGATTAATGAATATGTTATTATCAACAATGTGTTGCTATTTCCTTTATATAAAATCCTTATTATCTTTGTAAAACGGGGGGGGGGGGGGGGGTGTGAATGGGGTGTCACTTCTGCATTACTGTTATGCTCTGAACTGATTGTCTTCACATCCCAATTCATTCCTTATCACAGGTAGATCTAGGCCTTCTCCGCTTTGTTTCTGGAATTGGGACCCAAGGAGCCATCTCAAAAGAAACAAAGAAAGAATATTATCTGAAAACGTACCGCGTAGATGTCAGCTCCAATGGAGAGGACTGGATTACGCTGAAGGAAGGAAACAAGCCTGTTGTAAGTCTTTTCTCTTTCACCTCTGTTCGGCCAAGAAATAGGCTATTGATCTGTCTAGTTACTCTCAGTTGTTAAGAAATGAGGAATAAGTTATCACAGATTTAATCAGCATGATCAGAGTTTACAATATCCCAAATCCAAAAGATAGCTATTGTCTCCTTAGTAATGGGCCACAGAAATTGTTCATCCAAAGCCTAGAGCAGCTGAAAAGGGTGCAAGATGTGGCACGACCTGTTGTACCCACCAGAATTTGAGTGGTTTGGGTCTTTTCCCTGGAATGTGCTGTTTCCCAGTTTGCCAGAGATTTTCTGTGTGACCTTGAGAAAAACATGGGAAACCTTTTAAAAAATATGTAGGTCCTCTATCTGCAGTGAAGCTCTTATCCAGAGATATCCAGATATCCAAAATCATACTATGCAGTGTATCAGTGCGTCAGCTCCCTGTGCATAGCCATGCTGTCTTGCAGGAGTGCTAGCAAGTCCTTAGTAGTTGTTACACTTCCGAGCACCTCAGTGATGGGGGTCATGCAGACAGATAATTAGGCATATCTTTCTATCCTTATAGATTTTTATCACCTTTCCATTTATCGGCAGATTTCCTCTCTGTGACCTCCCAATGAAACAGCTTTAGACACTCATAAGAAAAATCTCCATTATCCGCTACCATGAGCATAAAGCTCATTACTGAGAAGTCAATTCTGCTCCAACTCTCACATGAATAGTCCCAGTGAGGCTGTGCCTTCCTTCCCACCTCGCTCAGGATGTGCCCGGGAGCAGCATCCCTGGAGGCTGCCAGGGGCTGATGCAACTGGAAAGGTTTTGTGGTACCTCCCTTCAAAATAGCCTTTTTGTGAGCCCTCTGTGAAGACCCAGAAGAGCTGTGTAATATTAAACTCTATCAGTGTAACCATATCTAGCTCTAAATATTTGGTTACTGGTTTTTCCCTGATTCATCTGTAAGTGCTATGCCAAGTCCACTACATTTATCTAATCAAAATGGTGGCAGTGTTTAACACATGCATCTTTCTTCTTTGAAGCACTTTATAAAACAATAAAAAATGAATCCTGAAAGCTCCTCTTTGACAGGTATTATCCTGGTTTTACAGAGAAGGAATTTTAGAAGGTCAAATGCCACAATGTGGGCACTGTGTAATGATGTATAAAGGTACAATAACTGACTGGCCCAAAGTCACAAGAGGAGCCAACGCTGCGGCTGGTATGAGACACAGGGTTTCCTGGCTCTGGTTCCTGTAATCTGAACAAATGCCTCTTTCAAAATCAGACCGTGCCTGATTTTCATTACCAGCTTCAATTTGTAAACTCTCCAAGAGTATATTTTACATGAGTTTCTATTGTACATGCTATCCTTCATTATGAGAATGCTTCATAAACCTGTGTTATTTGTTCAAAGGGTTTACAAAAAAAATCAGGTTTCTAAAGTGGCAATACTTTGCTGTTGATGAGGACAAGAAAAAACCACACAGAAGCATCCCTCTGATATCTCTGTTCAAATGAAAAGTTAAGGAGAGGCAGCTACTGAAGGAACAAAAGCAGGCAGCCACGGATCTCTTCCAGGCAGCCTCACACGAGTGTTGCACTAACCACACAGAAGGAGTTGTGTACTTTGGGAAAGACTCATTTCCTCTGTGAGATGCAGACCTTAAGAAAAATACAGCAGGTCCTCCCAGAGAAAAAAAAAAAGTTGCTGAAAAGAAACGTAGCTCCTTTTAAAATCTCTTGCTAGATATGAAACTCCTATATTAAATTCCTTGAGATATAACTGAGCCTGATGAGTTGAGAGCTGTGCGCTGCTGGCCTCCGCTCCAAATTAGTGCAGTTATTGCAAGTAACAAACAGGAAAGTAGACACTGTGTGTAAGAAATGGGAGAATCTCCCATAAAAGGAGGGGGGGTTGTATCCATGGAAAACAACAGGAAATTGGTCCTCTTTACATGACGAAGAAGCAGGAAACTGAATCACCTTCTTTGGACTAGAACATTGCAAGGTTTCAGCTCCGCTAGGAAGGAGCGTGGCTGCAGGATCCTCAACATGAAAGCACGGCACAATCCTGTCCCTTCTTGTGGAAGTCTCTTTGTTCATCTAATTTGACTGTTAGCCTTGGGGGACGCAGACAAAGTCTTAGAGCCTGCTATATAGATTTTAAATAGACTTCCATCTCAATATGCAAGGAGAAAGAAAGTCTGAGTACTTGCTTAAAAGGATTTAAAGACGAAGGTTAACAAAGCGAGGCTTGCACGATGCACTCTGCAAAACTCCTAAGCCCAAGGATAACAAAATAATGTATGTTTTTATTCTAACGCCATATAGGATTTTTATGTGGTCTAATTTAAATCCGAACCTTTAATTTAGGCCTGAGGTTCTGTAGCTTTTTGCATCATTCTACAAGTGTACGAGGAAAAAAACTGTCCTAAATGGGCACTGAGGGATTCTTCCAGGACACAGCAGTCCATGGGTGACCAAGACCAGTGTATATCATTCCTGCATATAGATCTGGGCATTAGGAACACCTCAAAATAGTCAGGGAGTGGACAAACCCTTGTTGCACTCAGGTAAGCTCCTGCTCTCGATGGCCCTGAGCTCTCCTGGTCTGCTCTGCAGCATTATGGAGTGTTATGGGACTCTGCAGATGGCAAGTATTTTTTTGTATCATTGAACACCTTATACCTTCTTTTTTCCTCCTCAAGGAAAGCTTACCTGTCTGCAAAAATTGTGTTAGGTGTTTAATGAAATGGTTCCCCATGCAAGTCTTTTGTCTCACCCCTCCATCCCCCAAAATAACCCTGGTTAGACCTTGTATCGTAACTATCTGTAAAACACAGAATTATAAACACCATTTAAGTGAATGCCTAACAAATATATACTTTTTTCTTTCCACACAAAGGTGTTTCAAGGGAATAGCAATCCCACTGAGGTTGTTTACAGACCTTTTGCCAAACCAGTTTTAACACGATTTGTGCGAATTAGACCTGTGTCTTGGGAAAATGGAGTATCACTGAGATTTGAAGTTTATGGCTGCAAGATAACAGGTAGGTCTTGGGAAGGATTTTAAAACCAAGGGAATTTATTGTGCATAAGCTGTGGTTTTTATTTTTATGAGTGAAATGCATCTTTATAATTTCCACTGGGGTCTGAATGTAGAAATGTGAAAAAAAAAAAAAAGACAAACAACACCATAAAGAAAATAAAAGAGACAACCCAAATATCCAATGTTATCTGAATGTTGTTCTGGCATTATCTTTTAGGCGTTCAGCTTTAAGAAGTGAAAAAAGTAAGCTTTAATTACTTTTCTTGCAATTATTTTACATCTCCATGCAAAATACCTGACATACACAGACATTTTGCAAATTCCCTTTTTTTTTTTCCTTCCTAACCTTCCAGTCCCTCTCTCTCATGCCTGCTATTTGTAGGTAGTTCTCAGCAGGTTTCACAAGGAACAACCATACATAACTAGGTTTAAAAGCATTGCAAGGTACAAACACTTAGATCTGAAGCCTATTCAAGCAACTAGACATATATAGTCAGGTTCCCACTAGTGATCAGTATTGGAATGTAACTCCTTTATGTGACACAGTTAACTACCAAAATAACTGTCCAAAATGCTTTCTGAAGTAACAGCAAAAGACATTCATTATCATCAAAATGCTATCTTGAAAAAAAAAAAAAAAACAAACCAGGCACACGCAGGGATGTTTTTGAAGTCCTTATTTGTTTTAGGATTTTCTAGTTTTTAGGATTTCTACATCTCCTACAAAATGGAGGTGGTTTTATACATAAAGTAAAAATACAACAAGTTCTAGATTAAAGAAAATTTTAATTATTCAATATTTTTTACAAAGCTGATTTTCCTAAAAAATACCTAACGTCATTTTATAGCACTTCATACAGTTCATTGGTACTAAAATTTAATAGTTCTAGGAATATATCTTTTTTTCTTTAGTCTTGAAAATGTTTCTCAGGACTGGTTTCCAGACAGCAGGAAAATAAGATTGCTGATTACTGTGTTATAGAATTCCAGGTCATTCTATGAAATCTTTTCACATTAGATCAAGGTAATAGCAGCAGAACCACTGTTACTTCTATATTGGAAATCTTCATTCCTTGTTAGCAGCTTTTTCTACTTCTAATTTGTATTTATCTGGGACCATAAAAGAAGCAACTCTTTAGCTTTTGTGACATTTGAAAAAGCCTGAGAGACCAAAGAAATGCAACAGAAAAATCTCAAGTTCAGCAATAAATTATATTTTACAGAACATATGAAAGATTTCCATTTCCAATGTCACCAAAATTAAGTAATCTGCAACCAGGTTTTGGCTGATTTTGGAAGTCTTCTCTAGGGAAATATTCACAAATTCAGATGTGACCCTGCACCCTTTGCCTTAGCAAGAAGAATAGAAAACAAGAATAGAATAGGATATTCAGATCGTTTTGGTTCCCATCAAGCCAGAAATACTTGTGGTATTTTGGTACTTCCTGCCAAAACTAGGATGTGCAAGTTTGAACAAATGAAAATTATATACAAATCCAAAGAGATTATTTTGGATATAAGAAAGAAATAAGGAATTGCTTATGCTAGTTGAATTGACTGATATGTCCTGTTTCTGTTTTGGTGCTTGTTCAGATTAACTATTTATTTTAATACTTTTTTTCTCTGTAGATTATCCTTGCTCTGGGATGCTGGGTATGGTGTCTGGGCTCATTCCTGACTCTCAGATTACTGCATCTACTCAAGTTGATCGAAACTGGATCCCAGAAAATGCTCGCCTCATAACGAGCCGTTCAGGTTGGGCGCTGCCACCAACTACTCATCCATATACAAACGAATGGCTTCAAATAGACCTTGGTGAAGAAAAAAAAGTGAGGGGCATAATTGTCCAAGGAGGCAAGCACCGAGAAAACAAAGTATTCATGAAAAAATTCAAAATTGGCTACAGCAACAACGGATCAGATTGGAAAATGATCATGGATTCCAGCAAGAAGAAGATAAAGGTAAGGAAGAAAGCTCTGGACTAAAAAAAACTTGCATTAAAAAAAAAAAAGTTTGCCTTAAATTTCTATCTCTGACCTTAAAAATGGCACACAGTTGGAATGAAGCCAAGCAGGAGGACTCCCAGGGCAGCAACCCTGTAGGGATGCTGTGGGAACCATCCCATGCGTGAGGGCAGGAGCTGGCCATAGGATGTTTGCTTCTCTCTGCAGCAAAGGTTTCATTTATTCAACAGCTAGTTCAGGCTTGATTTCTGACAAGGGTGGTGCACCTCTGTGGCCTGGGGCTTACTGCAAAACCCCATGCAACGGTAATATTCAACACTGCCAAAAAAGTAGAGTTTCCTCTGCAGTTTTTCCCCTGACATTGAACAAACTTATTTGAGACACTGAATTACTTTTCTTTTGCTTCTTTTTCATCTGAACTGCAGATTGAGAATGGTGTTATTTAACTCAATGGGGTACCTGTTGGATTTCTGAACTGCCTGTAGACTGCTTCGAGAGCTTTACAGGCTCTCTGTAATGGTCTGATCCAAGTCCCTCTGAAAGAAAGTGATGGAGTTTTTAACGTGTTATGCCATCCCAAGTGAAAAGTACTATTGTAGTGTCACAAGTGAAGCATCTTGGAGGTTGCTTGGGAATAAAGGGCAGCTGGTTCAAACAGAGATTATAAGAAATTTACATAGGAGGGCCAAATGAATTGCTGAGTTAGATGCCAAGGGAAAGAAAATTAATGTGGCCCAGAAAAGTTTCTGGCAACATACCTATTTTGGTTTGTCTTTGAATGTATGCATTTCAGGGCATAAATAGCACTGAGTGTTTAGCTTATTTATCCCAAATCCCATTTGTTAAGTTTTCCAGCCCCATTTTGATATTGTTGCTCACAAAGTGCATTTTTGCCTCAAAAGGCACAACCCTTTTTTAGTCCTCCTGCCCTGTTCCTAGGGGAAAGCAGTGGGCAAGCAGTCTTGTTCACGAACCGGTGCTGCACTACTGGGATGATCGGGGAATCATATACCAAAGATGACCTCAAAAAAATCAGTGTGGTGCTTGGCAGATGGGACTCCTGAGAGTTGCTCTTTATCTCATCTGCGTTAGTCTGAAAATTAGATGTAAAAGCTGTTTTGCTATATATACTCATCCATTGGACAAACCTATGTTTCCTTAAAGGAAAAGCTGAGTGGGCCTATGGATGTAGCTTTTCCAGGCACATTTGGTAAATATTGGACTTCATTCTCTCCTGTTTTAATCTCACTGAATATGTCTGCATTTTCTCACTTCTCATCACTTTTCATCATTTGTTTTGGGGATTAAAACTAAATGAATTCAGCCTTTGCAGTCAGCTCCTTTCTCTTGTTACCATGAGTTTTGACTTCATCATAAAGTGTGAAGAGAGTGTAAATCAACAATGGGATCTAACCATTTTCTTTCTAAAATAGATGTTGTTTTGACATGTACTTCTACACTGTGGCTCAACGAGGGAAAAAAATAATGCCATATGCTTTCAAAGCAGTGCGCCGTCTGCTGCATGGCTTTCTGTTTTCTAATACAAGCACTTGCCGTCATTGTCAGAAGTTAGCAGTTTGACAAGAAAACTAGTGTGCTAACTAACGCACTGAGCCCATCCTCAGCTTTCATCACTATCAGAAATTAACTTTCAAGATTAATGGAATGGAGAGGGATGGAATTCAAATCTCTTGTGGCATAATTATAATCCTTCCCAAAAATTCAAGACATTTAATAAAATTTTTTCCGAAGCACAAGTTTTCTTTAAAGAGAATCAGATAAATCCCATTATTTGGGAGTCTGAGGGATTTCAAATGTTAATACTGGAATGTAGTATTTTTAAATGTAAGTGGAGCTGGATGGGACAGCATGCTATAATGAGTCACAGCAGGAAGGCGGATTAGAAACAGCCCTGTTATATGAAATGAAACACATCGTTTCACTTGGTTAAAGTCTTGACTTTCAATAAACAAACAACTGCATTTTAGGAAAAGAAAGAGCAGTGACAAGCTAAACTTAACAACAGAATATGTCCAAAGGATGAAACATCACCTTGTTTCTCAACATGATCTTGTCATCCATGCTTGCAGCTCATTTCACTAGGACTACCATAATTCCTTCCTCTTTGGCTGACCCAATTTCTGCTATTTTTGAATGTGCAGAATGTTTCCCGCTTTAGCCTAGCTCAAGCACTCAGAGGAGTGAACATCACAAATCCTCAAACGACCACGCAGAACCCCATTTTCATTTTAAGATCCAATTTGTATTTCTTGTCTATAGTCTTACCCAAGCTTACTCCATAAAGTTATCTTTCTTTTTCATTCTTCTTTCCTCCTTCCACTTTTGGGGTTTTTTTTACACCTGCTATCATTTCTGGCATAAGAGACTTCTGAATGTCCTGCCATTTGGAACAACCTTTGTAAATTTCTCTGTAATGTTTATTTTCGTTTTGAAAGATACTAGGGAGAATTTTTTCCCTCTCACCAGTTTAGCTTCTTTTTTGTTTAGTTGTTATTTAATATAAGTCTTCTTTGTAATGAAGAGAAGGAATTGGTGACATAGCCGGTATAAAAGACACTCACAAAGTGAAGTTTTACTGTATACTCCACTCTCCTCCCCCACAAAGAATATCGGTACGTGTTTTAAATGAACAGTCAAAATTGAATCACAGGCAGCTCTGCACTACAAAGGACAATGATTCAATATAATTATGATTCAATATAATTCTAGATGCCTATTGAATTCTAATGTCTATGTGTCAGTACTCCAGTACTGATGTCTTTTATAAAACAGTTTTCATTATTATATGTTGCTATTAAGACTACTATTAAAAAGGAAGCAAGGATTCCTCAGATACATGTGTCTGTCTACTTTTTACACATAAAATGGCATTCATTCTTTCTCATATGGTAGGTAGCTTTTCTGATCATTTGCACTATATTGCTATTCAAATATAATCATATGTAATTCCATGTTAATTAGATCTGACAGGCCATCTACATGTGAATTCTTGACAACTATCTTCCAAGCACTGGCAGAACACCAGGTCAACCAGTGCCCCTTGAAGCCACCTTGGAGGTACAATCTCCCCTAGGAAGTAGGAGCAGAAGCATTAATGCTGAAATTATTTTTTTTAATTTAGTTGGTCTTAGTCTGCCATCATCGTTGGCTTTTGCGACTGGCACTCTAACCAACAGCCAGAAGGGGTTGTAGACCATTGGTTCATGATGCAGAGGTGTCCAGTAAAAACAAGCAAGGCTTTTAGTACTGCACTAAAAATACAAGCAGCAAGCAGATTTACCTATGCTGGTTTTGTGCCTTCAGAAATACAGCCAGCTTTTCCCATGGCTTCTGTTTTCTCTGCCCCAGATCAATAGGAGGAGGTAATTGCAGGTTGGGTTTTTTTCTCATCCAAAATGAAGGGCATCCGGTGGTTTCTTCCTGAAGAAAGCTACAGGCTTTGCAGCTGTGAGTTGGAAGTATCTTTATAATAGCTCTTCTAATCCCAAAATCAAACACTAGTTCAAAGAAGATATTTTTTAATGTTTTGCCATTTAACTAATTCATAGAAAAGAAAAGTTGAAAATACTTCACTTCTACTTCATTTTTATATATATTTTAATATTTTGTAGAGTGTTCTATACATGATATTCTGAAGTAATTTTTTACCATAAAATAGGGTAAAAATAACTCCTTTCGCCTATCTTGGGTTATAAACTCTTCATGGCAAGGACTGTTTCTTTGTACAGTTAATTCATTCTAAGGTCCAGTCATCTCCATGGAGGCACCTGAGTTGTTGCTAGAAGTACAAATTATAACTTGTTCTATATGCAAAAGATCACTTGCAAGAGAAGCCGAAGGTATCAAACGAATAGCATTGAGAGCTGCTTTATGGCTGAAGAACCCAGAGTGCAACTCAGAGAAGAGCTTTTTGTCTGAAATGTACATTTGCTGACCTGCCTTGCCCGTGGGATTATATTGCAGTTTTGTCAGAAGGCAGCTTTCTTCTTTCTTTCTTTCTTTTTATTCTTATTCAATAGCAAGCTCACTGGAAGAACTCTTGCAGCTACTGTTCCTGGAGTTTAATTTATGCCTTTTGAAATAACTACAACTTGTGAAACTCTGTCACTGGGGGAAATCAGATTGAAATTTTCTCTTCAATAGTTGGATTATTATTGTAACCACTTAAAAGGTGACAGGATCTTCACCTCAGCCATTTTTTTTCCCTGAGAAGTGTTGAAAATGTCACCCAGTAAAACCCCAGATCAGAGTGTCATTTAAAAACATGTCTCATTAAACACTCAGCTCTTGTTATGACCCTGATGGATTGGTTGCTACTGAGTTTATGAAAAATGGAATGCATTACTTTTCCCAGAAGCTTTAACTATGTATTTTCCAT